CAATGTGCAGCAGTACCCGAAGAGTGGTCATCTTCAGGGTGGGGGAGAAGGTCTAAAAGTAGTCAACTCCCTGCCGCTGACTGAAGCCACGAGCCACGTAACGCGCCTTGAAGACAGGCGGAGAACCCGGCGGCCGCTTCACCCTGAAGATCCACATGCCACTGACGATGTTCGCCCCAGGAGGGGGGGCAGCGTCAACGTAGGTGCGTGTGGACTTCCAGGAAGCCATCTCTGCATCCATAGCTGCCTGCCACTGAGAGGAGTAGGGACCCTCTATCGCCTCCGCGTAAGAGCGCGGAGTCGGGATGTCAAGTGCATCCGGGTCTCCCTCAGGGGTAAGCAGTACGGACACGAGATGAGGTGAAGCAGCTGCCAGACATTGGAACTCCTCCTGCCTGTCCTCAAGGACGTCCGTGCCAAGAGCACACTCACCCCCGACGGACGGAGGACAGACAGACGCAGACTCAGCAACGAGACTAGCAGCGTAGTTTAGACGACAGCGAGCAGCAAAGTCGACGAGCTCTGCAACAAGATCAGACGCAAAAGTAGACTCAAAAGAGGGGTCAGTGACAATAGTAGCAAGGAGACGCGTGACAGTAGGACTGGCAGCACGAAGAGAGTCTGACTCAGGGTCAGCAAGTGCATGAAGAGAGGACTCAGGAGCGGGAGGCAAAGGGGCACGCAGAGGAGCAGTAGACGGACGCAGAGACATCCGGTGCGTGCCACGGACAGGAGGAGGATGCTGGCGCGAACTGCGACCACTAGCGCGAGCAGCTCTAACAGGCGACGCAGGACGAGACGCAGGCTCACGACGCTCAGTAAGACCTCCAGTAGGACCAGCGTAGGGAGAAGGAGCAGGCAGAGGGGAGGCAGGCTGTAGCTGTGACTGTGACGGGACAGGCTGTGGACACTCTAAGGGAGGAGGAGGACCAGTAGAAGGAGGAAGACCAAGAACCTGCTGCACGAGTGGAACAAAGTACGGTCGAGGCCGCGTGACGACGCCAGAAGCAGCAGGGACAGCACCAGTACCCTAAGCAGGAGCACCCGCTCCAGCAGCACCTCCAGCAGCACTTGGAGCACCCCCAGTAGGACCGCCAGCGGTAGTCTCAGCGCCAACACCCTCAGCAGCACCAGCTCCAGTCGAACCCGTAGGCCCAGCAGCTCCAGTACTCCCAGTACGAGCACCTCCGGGACCCGCGACCGCAGCACCCTCAGCAGCGAAAGAACCTCCAGCACCAGCAGTACGGCGCCAGCGCCGGGCAAACCACTCGCGCAGCTCGTGTGGAGAGAGTGGCTCCCGGCGAGAAGAAGCACCCGGAGAACCTCTTGGCGGAGCACCTCCACTCCCAGCACCCCCAGGCTTAGCACCTCCAGGCTCAGCACCCCCAGGCGTAGCACCTCCAGGCTCAGCACCCCCAGGCGTAGCACCCCCAAGCTCAGCACCCCCAGGCTCAACACCCCCAGGCATAGTACCACCAGGCTCAGCACCCCCAGACGCAGTACCCCCAGGCTCAGCACCCCCAGACTCCGCACCCCCAGGTCCAGCACCCCCAGGCTCAGCACCCCCAGCAGCACCAGAGTCACCAGCGACCTCGACAGGCTCGAGTGCGTCTACCTGGGACACACCTGAAGGGGCAGGACCCTGAGGGGGGAGGGAGTCTACCTGGGGGGGACCTGGTACAAGAAAGAGCGGGGGTGGGGGGAGGGACGGAGTGCGGTTGGGGAAGAGGCGGTAGTAGGGGACTGACTCGTCAAACGTGACGTCCTGGGAGGACAGAACACGTTGAGAGGTGGGGTGGTAGAACTGCCACCCAGGCGCGTCAGGGGGGAACCCCAGGAAGACGCAAGGAGCAGCACGAGGGGATAGCTTGTACGCAGACAAGTCGCGGACAAACGCCCGAGATCCCCAGACCCGGAACGCCGACGCATCGCCAACCTTCCCTGTCCACAGTAAGGCTGGGGAGGTCTCTGGCCTGGAGACCCTGGGGTGGAGGTTGATCTGATGCGCCGCGTACCTGACCGCAAACGGCCACAGAAAATGGGGGGCAGCCGCATGCATCATAGACGTACAAGCGACGTCCATGACCATGCCAATGCGGCGCTCAGCAATCCCATTTTGCTGCGGTGAGTCCGGAAGCGTGAAGGTCTGACGGATGCCTTGTGCGCGACAGTAGGCTCGAAGTAGGCCAGAGGAAAACTCTCCGCCTCTGTCCGAGTGCAGACGCAGAACAGGGAAGTCCGAGCCAAAGCTCCGCCTGAGCTGGAGACGAGCCGCGCGGATCCAGTCGATCAGCACCTCAGTGACATCACTCTTGCTGCGCAAGGGGAAGACCGTGGTGTAACGCGAGTAGTCGTCAACAACGAGCAGGAAGTAGCGCTCGTGACCCTGTCCACGGACGCGGGCTGGGCCCCACACGTCCATGTGAAGCGTCTGCAATGGGGCCTCTGTCGGAGGAAACTGGGAGGAGTGAGGGGCAGCCCGCTGGCGCCCCTCGACACAGGGGACACAGGCAGGGCCAAGGCCCTGAGGAAGGGGAGGGAGGGACCGGGGGAGACCAGACACAAGAAGACAGGAGGCCATGCCTCTGAGCCGAAGCAGAGAGGGGTGACCAAGACGGTGGTGCCAGAGGAGAGTCTCATGAGACAAGAGACGACACGAACAGGGGGCAGACTCAGGACCAGACCTAGATGCTGCAGCAAACACCTGACCGGACGAAGCGACTCTACCAGACTCAGTAACGGGAGGAGACGCAGTGGTCAGTGTGTACAGGCTCGACCCCGGCTGACGGGTAAACGTAGCCAGGTGCCGGCCTGTGCTAGCCTCTGTACAGTGCGTCACCCGTTGACGCGCAGGAGTGAACTGGTGTACTCCCCCATCCTGTAGGTCAGCACCACTCACCAGGTTCGTCGAGAACGAGGGGAGGTAGAGACCAGACAGGGTGCTAGAGGGAGCCGCCGGACACGGGAGGACTGTGGAGAAGCGAGACAGTACAGGACCCCCGGAGGGGTCGGCCAGAGACACCGCAACCGGCCGACTAAGCGGCGTGAGTGTGGTGTGGTCCCGAAAGAAGGAGCGAGATGCCCCAGAGTCAAGAGTGAAGGTGAGGGAGGCCGAAGCCGACGGGTGGCGGGGCCGCCGTGAAGGGCGGCGGGGCCGCAACGAGAGAGGCGGCGGGGCCGCAGAAAAGGGCGGCGAGGCCAGTGAGACAGGCGGCGGGGCCGCAGTGAAGGGCCGCTAGGGCGGCTCGACGAAGTGAGGGCCCGGAGCGCGACTCGGGCTGAGCGCGCTTCGGTCAGGAAAAAAAAAACTCGATGTGGTGGGCCCTAAGCACAGTTCCCAAGGGGGAACCTGCTCGATACCATGAGAAGATTAGAACGAGAATGATGTGAACTATGAATGAAGCAAGTACAAATATGAAACCCTAGTTGGGTTGTACCCCCTATGGGAGACCCCACTATAGCCTACACAATAGCATAAGCTATAATGTTCTGACACTAGCGACCACATCAAGCATGGGGCTTGTGCTTGGAGGGACATAGCCAGTTGTGCTGACCGATCACTGCGACTCTTTCTTCGCCGATCACGTCGAGACTTAGCAGTTTACTTAGGGTTACTGCTTCGGTTTGGGCTCTGGTGCTATGTCGCGGGGTTCTACTTGGTCGTCGTCTGTAACGGCGCTGAGGCCGAAATCTACGCCGGTGCCATGGCTGCACGGAAGCTGCGTTGGTTGACCTTCTTGCATGCTGACCTTTGTGAGCGGCCGAGCTCTGCACCGACCTTGATCGCTGACAACAAGGCCATGATCCTCTTGTGTCGAGCGCCTCGACTGGAGAGCATAGTGAAGCATATGGACGTCAGGTACTTTCTATTGCGAGAGTTGCAGCGGCGCGGACATGCGCGCCTGTAATTTGTTGCCTCAGCGGCCAACATTGTAGACGTCTCCACCAAGACCTGATGACCACCACAGGCTCCGTCTGTAGCTAGGCCTTGTTGAGGTAGGCCTACAGTTATTGTAGTATGTTCTCTTGTTTATTGCTTCGTTTGTCCTTGCATTCATATATATTAGCCAGCTAATGAATTTGCATTGTGGCCGCTTGCTTGTGCTCAGACTGTGCGGTTGCTTTGTGATCCACCCTGAGCTTTGCTTTGTTGCTTCTTTTCACTGGTCACAAGACCAGATGGTCACAAGACCAGTGAAACACTTAAGAATAAATACCCCATACCACATACTACCGTACCTTGTTTGCCGTACGGTAGTTTACAGATGTGCATCGACTACCGGGCACTAAACAAACAAACACTTAAGAATAAATACCCCATACCGTGCCTAGATGATCTTCTAGACCAATTGTGTGGTGCAACGGCGTGTTCAAAACTAGACCTACAGTCGAGTTACTGGCAGGTAAAGATGGCAAACACCTCCATCCACAAGACAGTGTTTCGTACCAGACTCTGCAACGCACCAGCAACATTTCAGGCTAAGAGGAATTATATCCTACGGCCACTTCTGGTCGAGTGGGTAGAAGTGTACCTAGGCGACATATTTATGTATTCGAAAAACATGAAGGAGAATGTGGAGAATCTGCGGAAAAAGTCTTCAAGATTCTATGTGAAGCTGTCCAAGTGCGATTTTTCCCTGAAGAACGTGCAGTTTCTCGGGCACAGGGTGAGTGTCGTGTGAAGAAATGAGGAATGAATGCACTGGAAAACAGGTGAGTACAAGTAGGAAAACCTAAAAGTGTTGTACCCCATATTGTCTACCCCAATACAGCCTACACAGACCATAGCATATGAGTTTGACACACCCGCATAGGCAAAGTGGGGGAGAACAAGAGGTCACAAGACCAGTCAAGCAAAGCAAAGCAAGCTCAGGGTGGATCACAACGTCACCACACAGTCCGAGCACAAGAGCAAGGCCACAAGGCCAGTTCACATGCAAGATCATATATAAAGGTAAACAAGCAAGTGCAGGTATAGAAAGATCACAGTACAAGCAAGGTCAAGAAGTGAGCAAGTGAGGCCAAGTAGGCACAAGACCTAGCATCGTACAGAAGCGCTGATGATCACAAGGCGGAAGTGCCTTGGTAAAGATATCAGCAGTGTTGGCCTCAGAGGCCACGTAAGCAAGGCGCAACTGACCACGGTGCTGCAGCTCACGAGCAAGGAAGTAGCGGAGAGCAATGTGCTTCGTTCTGTGCTCCAGTCTGTGCTCCCGACACAAGGCCAGCATGGCCTTGTTGTCTACGTACAGAACTGGAGGAGAACGAGGCGGCTCTCCTAGGTCAGTCAGCAGGTAGGTGAGCCAGCGTAGCTCCTGTGCAGCCATGGCCCCCGCGTAGATCTCAGCCTCACAACTGGAGTCGAGAACAGAAGACGAGCGAGTAGACCGCCACGAAAGAGAACCGGAGCCAAGGCTGAAGGTGTAACCCTGTGACGACCGCTGCGTAGCCTGGTCGTCAGCCCAAGAAGCGTCTGCGTGATCTGTGAGGACCGCTCGACGTCGCCCTCCAAGCACTAGCCCCATGGCCGACGTACTGCACAAGTAGCGCAACACCCTCTTCACTACAGCCATGTGCTCTGGTCGGTATCTCCCAGGAGCAACATAGCGTGCCAAGATGCTAAGAGGGTATGCAAGGTCAGGTCGTGTGCAGGTCATCAGGTACATGGGGCAGCCAACAAGCTCTGGGTACGGGCCACTTGGCTCTACGGACTCATCCGAAGGCAGAGCTGAGAGCGAGTGGCGAGTAGACAGAGGAGTGGCCTGAGGCGAGGAGTACGTGAAGTCGAAGCGCTAAAGGACCTTCTGCACCATGTGTGACTGAGTCAGGGTAATGGTGCGCTGTGCTCTGTCCCGGGTGATCTGCAAGCCAAGGTAGCTGCGCAGTTCACCCAGGTCTGTGCACGTGTGTCTCTTCTGCAGCTCGGACTTCACGTGGGCGAGTCCAACAGTGTCAGTAGTGGCAAAGACCAAGTCGTCAACGTACACGAGGATGTAGAACGGCGGCAAAGAGGTGTCGGTGCGCAGAAACACCGACGGGTCGGCTGTAGAAGGAGCAAACCCAAGAGCCGCAAGTGTAGTCCTCAGTGTGTCGTGCCACTCACGGGGCGCCTGGCGGAGACCGTAGACTGGCCGCCGGAGGCTCCACTGGGTACCAGGAGGAAACGACCCAGTGAAGCCAGGTGGGCGGCGCAGCCAGATCTCCTCGTGTAGGCTGCCCTGCAGGAAAGCTGTGCTGAAGTCAAGAGAGTGAAGCTCGTAGTCGCGCTGAGCGGCAATGTTCAGCAGCACCCGAAGAATAGTCATCTTCGGGGTGGGAGAGAAGGTCTGAAAGTAGTCAGCTCCCTGCCGCTGACTGAAGCCTCGAGCCACGTAACGCGCCTTGAAGACAGGCGGAGAACCCGGCGGCCGCTTCACCCTGAAAATCCACATGCCACTGACGATGTTCGCCCCAGGTGGGGGAACCTCGTCGACGTAGGTGCCTGTGGACTTCCAGGAAGCCATCTCTGCGTCCATGGCTTACTGCCTCTGAGAGGAGTAGGGACCCTCGATCGCCTCAGCGTACGATCGAGGAGTCGGGATGTCTGGTGCATCCGGGTCTCCCTCAGGGGCAATCAGCGTGGACACGAGATGAGGCAAAGCAGCAGCAAAACACTGGAACTCCTCCTGCATGTCCTCAAGGACGTCCGTGCTAAGAGCACACTCACCCCCGACGGACGGAGGACAGACAGACTCAGACTCAGCAACAAGACTAGCAGCGTAGTCTAGACGACAGCGAGCAGCAAAGTCGACAAGCTCAGCAACTAGGGCCGACGCGGCAGTGGACTCAAAGGAAGGGTCAGTGACAATAGTAGCTAGGAGACGCGTGACAGTAGGACTGGCAGCATGAAGAAATTCAGACTCCGGGTCAGCAAGAACAGGAAGAGAGGACTCTGGAGGAGACGGCAAAGGGACACGCAAAGGAGCAATGGAAGGACGCAGTGCCATCTGGTATGTGCCTGGGACCGCAGGAGGACGCGGACGCGGAGCACGACGACTAGTGCGAGTAGCACGAATGGGCGACGCAGGACGAGACGCAGGCTCACGACGCTCAGCAAGACCTCCTGTAGGACCAGTGTAGGGAGAAGGAGCACGTAGGGGGGAGGCGGGCTGTAGCTGTGACCGCGACAGGACAGGCTGTGGACACTCTAAGGGAGGAGCAGGACCAGTAGTGGGCGGGAGACCAAGAACCTGCTGAAGGAGCGGAACGAAGTACGGCCGCGGCCCCGCAGCGCCTCCAGAACCAGCAGGGACAGCACAAGTACCCCCAGCTGCAGCACCAGCGCCAGCAGCACCTCCAGCTCCAACAGCGCCAACTCCAGCAACGTCAGACATACCAGCACTAGCAGCATCACCAGCGCCAACACCCCCAGCAGCTCCAGCTCCAGCAGCTCCGGCAGCACCAACTCCAGTAGGACCAGCAGCCCCAGTACCGCCAACAGCTCCAGCAGCACCTCCAGCAGCCCCAGCAGCACCCCTAGTCCCAGCAGCTCTAGAACCGCCAGTACGAGCACCTCCACGACCAGCAGCAACAGTACTACCTCCAGCTCCAGCAGCACGGCTCCAGCGCCGGGCAAACCACTCGCGCAGCTCCTGCGGAGAGAGTAGCTCCCGCCTTGACAAAGCACCGTGACAGGCCACACGAGCAGACCCATCACCCCCAGGCTCCGCACCCCCAGGCTCAGCACCCCCAGGCTCAGCACCCCTAGACTCAGCACCCCCAGGCTCAGCACTCCAAGGCTCCGCACCATTGGACTCAGCACCCCCAGGCTCCGCACCCTCAGGCTCAGCACCTCCAGACCCGGCTCCCGCAGGCTCAGCTCCTCTAGCAGTATCAAAGTCAACAGCTACCTCGACAGGCTCGACTGCGTCTACCTGGGACACACCTGACGGGGCATGAACCTGAGGGGGGAGGGGGTCTACCGGGGGAGGACCTGGCGCAAGGAAGAGCGGCGGTGGGGGGAGGGGCGCAGTGCGGTAGGGGAAGAGACGGTACTAAGGCACCGACTCGTCAAAGGTGACGTCCTGGGAGGACAGAACACGGCGCGAGGTGGGGTGGTAAAACTGCCACCCAGGCGTGTCAGGGGGGAAGCCAAGGAAGACGCAGGGAACAGCACGGGGGGGCAGCTTGTCCGCAGACAAGTCGCGGACAAACGCCCGAGATCCCCAGACCCGAAACGCAGACGCATCGCCAACCTTCCCCGTCCACCGCAAGGTGGGGGAAGGTCTCTGGCAAGGAGACCCGGGGCTGAAGGTTGAGCTGATGCGCGGCGTACTGAATCGCAAACGGCCACAGAAAATGGGGGGCGGCCGCATGGATCATGGACGTACGACCGACGTCCATGACCATGCCAATGCGGTGCTCAGCAATCCCATTTTGCTGTGGAGAGGCCGGAAGCGTGAAGGTCTGGCGTATGCCCTGTGCTCGACAGAATGCTCCCAGACGGGCAGAGGAAAACGCCCCGCCTCTGTTAGAGTGCAGACGCAGAACATGAAAGTCCGAGCCAGAACTCTCTCTGAGCTGGAGACGAGCTGCGCGGATCCAGTCGATCAACACCTCAGTGACGTCACCCTTGCTGCGCAAGGGAAAGACTGTGGTGTAACGCGAGTAGTCGTCAACCACCAACAGGAAGTAACGCTCGTGCCCCTGGCCACGGACGCGGGCGGGGCCCCACACGTTCATGTGAAGAGTCTGCAGCGGAGCCTCTGTCGGAGGAAACTCGGAGGAGTGAGGGGCGGCGCGCTGTCACCCCTCGACGCAGGGGACGCAGGTAGGGGCAGGCCCCGGAGGTAGGGGAGGGAGAGACCGGGGGAGACCAGAGTCAAGGACACGCGAGGCCATGCCTCGGAGACGAGGCAGGGAGGGGTGACCAAGGCGGTGGTGCCAAAGGAGAGTCTGGTGGGACAGGAGACGACACGAGCAGGGAGCAGAGTCAGGACCAGACCTGGACGCTGCAGCAAACACCTGACTCGACGCAGCTACCTGACCAGACTCAGCAGCCGGAGGAGACTCAGTAGTAAGTGTGTAGAGGCTCGACCCTGGCCGACGGGTGAACGTGGCCAAGTGTCGGCCCGTCCGAGCACACGTACAGTGGGTCACCCGCTGACTCGCAGGAGTGAACTGGTCACCCCCCCTATCCTGTAGATCAGCTCCACTCACCAAGTTCGTAGAGAACGAGGGGAGGTAGAGACCTGACAGGGTGCCAGAAGGGGCTGCCGGGCACGGTAAGACAGTGGAGAAGCTAGCAAGGACAGGACCCCCAAAGGGGTCCGCCAGGGAGACCGCAACAGGCCGACTAAGCGGCGTAAGAGTGGTGCGTTCTCGAAAGAAGGTGCAGGAAGCACCCGAGTCAAGGGTGAAGGTGTGTAAGGCCTGAGCCGACGTGGTACCTGAGAGAGCAGACTCACCAGCACCTGGAGCAGCAAACGTACTAGCACCTAGAGCAGCAGCCTCACCAGCACCTAGAGCAGCAGCCTCAATGCTCGGGTCAGGCGGAACACACACGTAACAGTCACCCTCATCACTATTAGGCAATGCATACATGGCAGTGAGGAAAGCATCATAGTCAAGAGTATAGATATCTACCCGCAGCCTAAGCAGCTCCACACAGTCAGGGAGCTCAGCCGCGTCGCCAAACTCCGTACGCCAAGCATCGCTCAGACGGGCGAAGCAGCGGGACTCTGTGTGACCACGCGTCCCGCAAGGCTGACCAGTCCGGACACCCGTGCTAATAACGTACGGGCAGCAAGCACTACTCAGCGACCCTCTACTCTGAGCCTACCACTCACGAAGCTGTTGGGGGGTGAGGGACTCACGCGGGCGACGCTGGAGCTGCATCTGGTCACGCCAGAAGTAGCAGTAGCAGTAGAAAGAGCAGCAGCAGCAAGAGCAGCAGTAACAGCAGTACGGGCAGGGCAGTGCTCACCAGTGGCGAGAAGGGCAGGCGTACGACGGCGGCAACGGTGAGGCCGCTACCACTGTAGGGCGAGAGCTCCGCGGCAGCTGCAGGGGTGGCTGCTCTAGGGGCGGCTGCTCCAGGGGCGGTTGCTGCAGGGGCAGGTGCTCCAGGGGCAGCTGCTGCAGGGGTGGCTACTCCAGGGGCGGCTGCTGCAGGGGCGGCTGCTGCAGTGGCAGCTGCTCCAGGGGCGGCTGCTGCTGTGGCGGCTGCTCTAGGGGCGGCTCGGCTGCTGGGCTACTCTGCTGCTGGGTGGCTCGGCGGCTCGGCTGCTGGGCGGCTCGGCGGCTCGGCTGCTCGCTAGGGGTGGCGACGGGCCTGGGTAGGGGCGGCGACGGGGCCGCTAGGGGCGGCGACGGGGCCGCGTAGGGAGGGGAGAGGCGACGGGGCCGCTAGGGGCGGTGATGGGGCCGCGTAGGGGCGGCGACGGGGCCGCGTAGGGAGGGAGGCGGCGACGGGGCCGCTAGGGGCGGCGACGGGGCCGCGTAGGGGCGGCGACAGGGCCGCGTAGGGAGGGAGGAGGCGACGGGGCCGTTAGGGGCGGCGATTGGGCCGCTAGGGGCGGCGACGGGGCCGCGTAGGGGCGGTGACGGGGCCGCGTAGGGAGGGGAGCGGCGACGAGGCCGCTAGGGTCGGCGACGGGGCCGCTAGGGGCGGCGACGGGGCCGCGTAGGGGCGGCGACGGGGCCGCTAGGGGCGGCGACGGGGCCGCGTAGGGGCGGCAACGGGGCCGTGTAGGGAGGGAGGTGGCGACGGGGCCGCTAGGGGCGGCGACGGGGCCGCGTAGGGGCGGCGATGGGGCCGCTAGGGGCGGCGACGGGGCCGCGTATGGAGGGAGGCGGCGACGGGGCCGCTAGGGGCGGCGACGGGGCCGCGTAGGGGCGGCGTCGGGGCCGCTAGGGGTGGTGACGGGGCCGCGTAGGCTCGGCGACAGGGCCGCGTAGGGAGGGAGGCGGTGACGGGGCCGCTAGGGGCAGCGATGGGGCCGCGTAGGGGCGGCGATGGGGCCGCTAGGGGCGGCGACGGGGCCACGTAGGGGCGGCAACGGGGCCGCGTAGGGAGAGAGGCGGCGATGGGGCCGCTAGGGGCGGCGACGGGGCCGCTAGTGGCGGCGACGGGTCCGCGTAGGGGCGGCGACGGGGCCGCTAGGGGACGCGAGGGGCCTGGAAGGGCGGCGACGGGGCCGCTAGGGGCAGCAACGGGGCCGCTAAGGGTGGCGCGAGGGGCCGTGAGAGGGGCCTCTAATAGAGCTCGACAGAAGGGCGGCCCACAAGGCGCGCCTCGGGCAGGAGCGACTGGCGCTCCGGTCAGAAAAAAAGTTTCAGTGGTGGGCCCAAGGAAGCGTTCCCACTAGGGAACCTGCTCTATACCATGTGAAGAAATGAGGAATGAATGCACTGAAAAACAGGTGAGTACAAGTAGGAAAACCTAAAAGTGGTGTACCCCATATTGTCTACCCCACTACAGCCTACACAGACTATAGCATATGAGTTTGACATGTCGATGGCGTACACGTAGATCCACAAAAGATTGAGGCCGTCAAGAAGTGGAAAGTTCCAAAAAACGTCAAGGGGTTGCAGCAGTTCCTAGGCTTCGCTAACTACTATAACAAGCTCGTGCCACAGTACTCTAAGATAGCAGCGCCACGTACGAACTTATTGGAATAGGATACGCCCTATAAATGGGATACTCAACAGCAAGCCGTGGAGCAGCTACTGATAGCACTAGCTACTGCTCTAATACTCATCATACCGGATCCAGAGAAATATCATGTGGTAGAAGCAAACGCTAGTGACCAGGCAGTCAGAGCAGTCCTGATGCGGGTTGCAACCCATCGCCTACCTCAGTAAAAAGCTACACAAAGCTGAACTGAATTTCCCAATCCACGACACGAAAGTCGTAGCAACAGTCACAGCCTTCTAGGAGTGGAGGTGTTCTCTAGAGGTAGCCAAAACCGCAGTCTACACTGACCACTGCAGTCTCAGATACCTAAAGTCAGAGCCTACGCTTTCATGATGACATGTGTGGTAGATGGACTTCCTCGCAACGCACTTTCACTACGACATCATCTACAAGCCAGATCTACACAACAAGGCCGACGCGCTGAGCCCCCAGGGCATGTAGCAGGCATCTAGCTCGATGGGATAAACTCTATGCTCGAGGGTCTATTCCAACATGGGTACTCCGCAGACGCAGACACAGTAGAGAAGCAAGAACTGTTACAATGTGAGAAAGACTTAGTAGTAAGCAAAGGTTTAGACAAAATTGGGTACCGAACTATGCCTCGCTCCGACGGATCTTACTCGTAGTGTTCCACGATGTGGCATATGTGGGACATGCTGGAAGCAACAAGACGTTAGCAAGCATAGCGAAATATTACTACTGGCTCCGGATGGCGGAAGATGTGCAGCGGTTTGTCACCTCATGCGACACATGTTAGCGGATGAAGAGTAGCAAGCACAAAAAAGTACGGTTACTTCAGCCTTACCTTTACCAAAGCAGCCATCTCAAGTTGTGAGTCTAGGTTTCATTACTGAGCAATCAACAAGTTCTCTAAAATAGGACATTTCATCCTCACAAACGCCATGGCTACTGCTGAAGCAACTGCCCGCCTCTTCTTCGACTATATCGTCACCATCCATGGCATCCTCGCTACACTCATCTCGGACAAATACCAGTAAGTTCTAGAGGGAACTCACGGGTTTGTTGGGGACAAAGCTTGCAATGTCTTGAGCATACCACCCGCACACTACTGGTCAGACTGGGCGACTCAATTGGGTAGCTGAACAGTTACTTTATACAGCGTGCCATGGCAAGTTGTGAGTCTAGATTTCATTACTTGGCTACCTTCAACCTCACGAAGGCTTGATGCTATACTCGTGGTGAATGGCAAGTTATCTAAAATGGGACATTTCATCCCAACATACGTCACGGCTACTACTGAAGCAATCGCCCGCCTCTTCTTTGACCGCATCGTCACAATCCACGGCATCCTCGCTACAATCATCTCGGACAGAGACAAAAAATTCACCAGTAAATTCTAGAGGGAACTCATGGGTTTGTTGGGGACAAAAGTTGCGATGTCTTGAGCATACCACCCCCAGACTAATGGACAGATTGAGCGACTTAATCGGGTGATTGAACACTTACTTCGTACCACATGCAAAGACGATATTAGCCACTGGGATCTACAAATACTGATCCTTGACTTCACTTACAACAAGGCATCTCATGCGGCCACAAGAAAGCCCTTTTTCTTTTGACGCAAACCAATCACAACTCAGCAGCCACCACACTGGTGCACGTCCAAGCTGCACATTTCTTCGTTACCACCTTGCAGCAGCTATGGGAGAAGACTGAGCGACGTCTCACCACGATGCAGAATTATCAGAAGCAGTATGCTGATTGACAGCAATGAGATCACTCGATAACAGTCGAAGATCAGGTGTTTTTTGACACACGCAACTTGGAGTTGTTTCACCTCCCGTCCAAGCTCCGACCTCGTATTTGAAATCCCTTTCGCGTTGAGGCACAGGTGAAAATAGTTACATTCCGCTTGTGCTTACCGAATCCATGGAAGCTTCACAACGTTGTCCATGTTCAGCTACTAAAGGCCTACAAGGACCCCAACCGACAGTTCCAGGGACGACAGCTACAGCCACCACAACCTGTTCTCTGGTTCATCTTGTACGATGATCGCTAAGTCTTCTCCCATAGTCTTCTCACCATGTGCCCAAAGAACTACACCTTTTTAAGGGCCAAGTCGCTTTCTGGCACCTAGAATTGATTTTTTCCGAGGTATCTCGAAGAATATCCATAGATGCTTCACATGCTCCTTCACATTATTGGAGTATATGACAATTTCTTCCTAGTAAACTACCACGCACTTGTCCAGCAGGGGCCAATGGATGTGGTTCATTTCCGCTTAAAATCTAGCTTGTGCATTGCAGAGTTCAAACGGCATTACAAAGTATTCCTAGGAGCCATATCTAGTACAGAACACCGCGGGTTGATCGCCATTTTTATCTGCTAGTAACGCGACCGTAAGTATAGTTTTTGTCAGAATCTAGATGAGGGAATGATTGCATTGAGAAGAAAGTTTGGTACAAGTACTACCCCTAGTTGGGTTGAACCCCTTATGGGCTACCCCGCTACAGCCTACACAACAAAAGCATTATAACAGTTTGAAACACCCCCATGGGCAAAGTGGGGGAGAACAGGAGGTCACAAGAACGGTCAAGGGAAAGCAAAGCAAGCTCAGGGTGGATCACAAAGTCACCACACACTCTGAGCACAAACAAATGGCCACAAGGCCAGTCCACATGCGGAGTTATATAATCAAGAACAATCAGTACAATGATCACAACCTAGCAAGGGTAAGCATGCAGGTATATGCATATAGATCACAGTACAAGCAAACTCATGAAGTTAGCAAGTGAGGCAAAGTAGGCACAAGGCCTAAAACAATACAGAAACGTTGATGATTACCAGGCTGAAGTGCCTTGGTGAATATATCAGCAGTGTTGGCCCGAGTGGCAACGTAAGCAAGACGAAGCTGACCACGCTGCTGCAAATCTCGAGCGAAGAA